TGTCGGTAGTCCGAGTCGAAGATCATCCAGATAGCCAACCTCCAATACCGGATCTGTCGTCGTCATTCGGTAACCTCCTTGATTTAAACTCGTTCCAACGGAGAAGTCGATGTTGGTGCCTCTAGCATGGATATGACCAGTGACGTAGGTGGGTTGTGGAGGGGAAACAGGTGTGGTAGGTGTTGGGGTTGGTTGTTCAGAGGTTGGCTCGGGCAATGAGCCATCGGTAGGTGTAGGTGTAGGCGTTGGCTCATCATCCGGTGGGGTTGGGGCACTAGGTGTACCATCAGTCGGAGTCGGGGTGGGTTGTTCATCAGAAGTTGGCCCAGGAGACGTAGGGTCAGACGGTGAAGTGGGAGTTGCAGATTGACGGGCATATAATTATGCTCTACCTGTAGCAATATACCAGTTGTATGTGAGTACAGAAACGGAGATTATGCAGTGTAGACATACATACCTGGAACGTGAAGACGTTTCGGTTTCCTAGGGGTGAGTCCTCTTTTCAATCGTTCGGCATTGGTCTCCTGAAATTCGAAGCTAGGTGGTGAAGAACTAGAGTCAACGGGATCGATGAAATGGTATCTATGTTGATTACGAGCAGACAGGTCGTAGTGTCCTGTAGAAAACGGTTTTGCGTCGACATAAGCAGGCTGTATCCCTACTGTTAGGCAAATCACGAGAGTTCCGACGAAAGGAAAAAAGGAACGCATAGATGGTGTAAATTATAAACGAGCGGCGATGTTCAAAGGAATGTATAGGAGACGGGTGTGGTCAACAAAACGAACTCCGGAACAGAAGTTCAAACGACTTACCAATGCTGCTTTTATACTACTAGTGCTCGATGGCCTCGTCGATTACGACGTTAGATAGAGAGGAACACGCGTAGGGATCTTTTCAGCCGTCAAGGTTCCGACAATTTGAGTCCGTGAATGAACAATTTTGTCCGATAAATTAAGTGCTTGTGGAAATCGAGTCCCTGGTCAGTACAACGCACAATCACCTAATGCACACAGGCGTGGACTGAAACTGAACAAAAACATGCATCTGTCAAAGACAAAATTGTAAATCAGTAGTTAACTGGGTGGATACCAAGAGCTGGCAAATTTAAATAATACCTGGCTGATATATTGATGATTCGTTGGATGCACCATGTTTCAGGAGGTGGAAATGTTGGTGTAAAGTTAGATTAGGGACATACGTTTCACTGCCAGAAATCTTGGACTCGGAGACAGAAGAGTTAGTATCATTTCACAATCCAGACATCAGGCGCCTGCTCTTCGAAGCTTGGTGAAAAGGGGGAAATGTATAAAATTAAACGACAGAGACATCATGCAACCTTCCTCATCAGGAAGGTATGTCCACCTCAAAAATAGTGCATGTGTATAAGAATGTCATGTGTAGATATAGGTATAGTATAAGATAGAGATGCAAATCAAGAGATGCGGATGAAATAGAATCTAATGCTACAAAAAAACAAGGAGAGCGCGCGAAACGAGAACAGAGGAGTGAGTAAACAACGAAGAGGGACGATGAAAGCCAAAAGGTCGGAATGGTCCATCGTTACCATACGACAGAAGGCATGTCTTTTTAACTAGCGATCCAAGGGGGCGAAATGCTATGATGTATGGGTCTTAGAACTTGAAGAGGGTATCGACTTTGAACTTGACGTTGATGATATTGAACGCTAGAAAAAATGGTGTTAACGTCTTGAAGGCATGTAATACAGAGATGATAGCTCACATTATCCTTCCTTGTTTTCGAAGAAGTTCTCTCTCTAAGCTTATGTGTAACAGTGTACTTTGAGCCCAAGTTTTCCCTCTGCTCTGTTTCGCTAAATGTCGCTGATGTTGCAGAAGACGTTCCTGTGATGACATCTCCATTCGCTGCGGGAGCCTCTCTTATAGTCCCCACCGTCTGCGCCAATGACGCTGAGGAAGATGGCAAAGACGAGCTACTGGCGCTCACCAACGACGACGTGGACAGATTCGTCCCACCATTATTTCCATTGATCATTGTAGGTTTCAAAGTCTCTTCAGACCCAGATTCAAAATCAGCCTCATATAAGCTGTCCACGCCATCTCGCCCACTAGCTTCCGCGAGATGACCATTGGGAATACTTGTGGATGTGCTGGTGGTGGTTGCGATACGAGAAGTGGCATTGAAATTGCTAGTATCGCGTGGATATTGAGGTATTGAATTAGAGGATGGGTGTCGATACGTGGGAGTTGAAGTAGAAGCAGACGGGTTGCTGGATGTAGAAGCGGTAGAAGTAGTTGCAGTCTCTCGACTGTCATTTTGATGTTGAATGGCGCGAGGAGGGGATGGAGAGACCCATTGAACCTTCTCATAATACAGCATGAAAGCACCTTGTCCTTCTCTCAAGACAGTCTCGATCCCACATTCCGAAACTGAATCATCAGATATTCGAAGCCACCCCGAACCTGTTCCGTGGGCATACTGACGATCCCGGCTGCCATCCTTCGATATTCTGACATGCCCATATCTCTGACAAACCTCGCATTGACAAGATAGTCCGGCAGCACACCACACTCGCGGCGGAGGGAACCTATCTTCAGGAGTAGAATTTCGGTTGGGAGATAAAGGACTTGGAGGCTTACGTCTGTAGCAGACATAATGTCCAAATGAATGTTGGCCGTAATGACATACAATGGATGACAGGCGATATAATACTCTCTCATCATGAGAAGAATACGTTACAGGTGTCGGCGTGCTTGACCTGTCAAAAGGAGGTGGAGGCGAAGATATCGGGGAAGAAGGAACAACTGAAAGCTTGCCCGAAGTGGTGAATTGTGTCAGGTCAAGGAATTCTGGAAATAGAACGTTGCAGTTGTTCTTGGATGCGTAATTACCCCAATGGACTGAGCGATTAAGGTGAAGTGCTAAGATGGGAGGAGGCTGCAAAATGATGAGTATAATTCGTTAGATGCTGTCGTCTTGTACTCACGCGAGCTATCATGGCTTGCTTAGTGGAAGCCCTGCTGAATACCTTCTCGATTTTAACATCTTTCAGGTCATCCTCTATGCGACCTTCTTGAAGTGCACTCTCGACCCTCAATAACAACTTCTTGGCTTCCCTCGCCTTCTTCTTTTTCCATGTCGATGTAGGAGAGTGGTTGGGGTCGGTTGATGACGACGAGGCATTGACGATACGATCATTTTCTTGCTTGAGCCTGTCGTATGTAGCCAAAAGGGAACATTTCCTGCATATACAGTCATCCAGTATTTCCAGACGAGTGTACTCTCCTAGACAATCTTCTAATCGACAAGCAGCCTATCGTTCATGAGCATCTTATACGCACAATCAAGAGATAAGTATCACTTACCGCCCTCGGTACGGCCAACTGCAAGTTATCAAAAGCAAAATGCATGACGGCTTCTGTGTAACCACATTGAACACAACTCCTCCTATTAGCCGTCAACCCATCAAAGACACTCTTTCCAATAACGCCCTTTCTCCACTTCGAAGTATTCTTCCCATTCCCGGAATGTTTTCCACCCGCACTCCCATTGAGTTTTGTCGAAGGAAGCAGCCCAACACCACCGAGTCCTCTATCTCTGTACCCTTCCTTGTCAACAGCTATAGTCTCGTCTTTCAAACATTCCGAGATCAACTGAAAGAGTTCCTGTGCATCCTGGTGCTCACGAGAAGAAAATAAAGAGTTCTGTTTCGATTCAGAGTGCGAAGATAGGGCATTGATCATTGCATGTGGACGAATTGCGTGTGGTGACGATGTTGGCGTATTTAGTGCTACGACGAGGTCATGAATTAGCATACGAGACAAGGTGAGATATATCAACGTACTGTGGAGGATATCGAGCAAAGCATCCAAGACTGGTGTTGCCACGTCGAGTTGTTCAGCTTTCGCTTGTATGAGCTCAATATGTGGTGTTAGATAAGAGAGTGAAGCGAGTGCTTGGAGAGTAGAGTCCATAAAACAATACGTTCCGGATATGTTGACAATACCGGGATAATATCCATCATCGTCTACAGAAGTATGAGTATTGTACATGTAAATAATAGAAAGAAATTGACCTGCATCACCATTCAAAGCGGCTTGTTGACCTGCCCTAGTTCTAACAGCCTTCTTCTTCAATTTCCGTCTCTCCCGCTCGCCATCGTTTGAAGATATCCAATTCCACGGTAACACCAGTGAAAGAGATTCAAGTACCATAAGCAAATAGTTGAAAAGCGAATATATGTATGATTGAGAGGAAAGAACGAGTATAGGGATGAGTAAGAAGATGACGAGCGGGGCGACTTGTTGGAAAACTTGGCTGCGAAGAATTTGAGACCAGTTGAGTGATATTAGTCGGATGTCGTCCACGATGTCGATGAGCATCGGGTCAATGAGCTCGATGTCCGACTTGACGGTGAGGGCATCTATGAAACAGCAATTTGGCGGTAATTGACATTAATTAGTTTGTTATTTGAATTTCGCACACTTACTTATAGTAGGTTATAGTCAAGTAAAAGGTTATTTATAAATTTACTTATGTCGATACTAACGGATAGTTAAAATTTCAACCGAATAGGTTTACTGGGTAGAATGTAAAAGCCTACCCCTCATCGCTATGGCTACCTGGCGCAATGGTAGCGCGTTTGGCTTCGATCGCCGACGGCACCAAAAGGTTGCAGGTTCGAGTCCTGCGGTGGTCATTGTTTTTGGTTCTTTCACATTTGGATTTGCAACCTGTTCCGAGTCAGTGAAACATGGGATCCATTCTCATTATATACTCAATACATAGCACGTTGCTGAAGTATCTCCACATTATCTGCAATCATCAATGTGTTCTTTTTTGAACATTTGAATCACTTCAATTTCAGAATTCCTTCACTTCGCCATCCCTAAGAATTTCAGGTAATCTGCGGAGCGTACTTTTAAATCCTCTCATGTCATTGTCTTATGAAACGACTGATCTACTATGGACAACTTGGCAAGACATTCACACAAAATTCGGTTCATCTACTTGCTTTACAAGCCCTCGTTGTCTAATGGTTATGATATCAGACTTCTACAACTGGGTTGAAATCTGAAGGTTGTGGGTTCGAGTCCCACCGGGGGTAGTCGGTTATCTTTTTTGTTCAATTCTGTTGCACGTCGGGAAATTGGTAGTCTCGACTCGCGAGCTTATGATAACATTTTATGAGTAGCAAGCAGAGGGATGATATATAGAATGAGACGGAAAGACAGACAACACAATACAACATGAACACAGACAAAAATCACAATTCACACAGTTACACTAGGTTCGATCTCTCCGAGGAGCATTGTACCATCCTTGCTTCCAGTTAAAACTGCAGAAAAAGGGAAAGATTAATTAGCATGATGAGGTTACACAGGTAGTAGGAGCAATCAAACGGACTAATAGGTTCCTTGGGGTGGAAGTCAACAGCAGTAACTGTGCCTTTATGTCCAGGGAGCTGGTGAAACAATATTCAACACCTATTTTGACAGTATGGATTGTGTGATGTCGCATACCTTATACAACACCTTTCCGCTGTCCACATCCCAAATACATACCGTTCTATCCGCTCCTCCTACACCAGCGCGCTTTCCGTCGTCGTCTTTACTCCATGCTCCTCTCAGTAAAGTATTCTCGAAACCAGCAGGTGAACCTGTAAGCACTCTATGAATTCGAGATGGTGAAGGGGAGAATGGTCGAATATCGTGAATAATTGTTTGTGATGAGAGTGAAGGGGAGAGAAGGAAATTCCCATTTGGCGAAAGGGCCAATGAGGTTGGTGTATCGACATGCCCTGTCAGAGTGTAGACTTGTTCATTTTTGCGAAGATCAAGTACCTGTAGGATTCACATAAATATCATCGTCAGCTTAGATATCAGACGAGTACGGTGAGAATAAGGACATACGTGAATCTCATTGTCCAAAGCACCAGCGTAAATGTTCGCTCCATCTGCACTCCAACAAACCGAAGTAACGGGACATCCAATCTCAAAAATAGCAACAGGATGTTTTCCTCCTTCCTCACCTCCTTCCCAAACCCTCACCGTCCCATCATCACTCGCAGAAGCGACAAGTTCAGTACCTGCACCTCCGGCAAGAGTTCTATCTAAAGAATTGACGATTCCTCTATGCGACCTCAGCTTTCTTAGACGTTCCCCAGTTGTTAAATCCATAACATTGATGGTTTGGTCTGCCGAGGCGGTATATAACACTGATGTGAATAAAGACCATTGCAAGTCGAGGATGGGAGCTTTGTGTATACTGGATAATAATCCATAATTAGAATTTGGGGAGTATGTTTTCCATAATGCTATAGGATAAGAAATTCCATGGAATGCTCGTGTCAACACAAAGCAAGTAGGAAGAACGAAAAGGAGGAAAACCCACAAACACCTCTGTCCGAAGAGCAAGCCGCGATGTTTTGACCTGAGGGATCAAATCTGCAGCTCAATATTTCTCCCTAAACGAAGCAAAAGAGATGTGGATAAGATACTTGAAATTCTTATATTAATGACGATGTAAGGGAAAGACTCACCCCATGCGAACCTGCGAGACTGATAATAGGTGCCTCCAAGCTACTCGTTCTTTTCACAGTCCGTATAAGAGCTTGTTGTCTTTCATCATTAGAAGATGAGATTGCTATTTGGTTAGCTACAGGAGATGAAGAACGAGCTCTTTTGACTAATGCGCCTCCCTGTGGAGGAGGTGAAGCACCGCGTTTTGACATGTTAACAAGATATTTTTTGGAAGAGTGATAGAACCTGAGAGTTTTTTAGACAAGAGCTTGTGGGGAAGCCTAAGGGAACGTATTCTGTCTACGGTGGGTGAAGGATGTACGGGTTCAGTGAATGTTGAGTGTGGTTTGCGAAAGGTGTCAGCGCCTACCAGAATTGATGTTAATCTGGCACGTGACTGGCGTTCAATATGTCAGAATATGTCTACGAGAAAACGTGTCTATTCGCCGCTTCGAAGTTGAGGAGCCTCAACCCGAGCGACGTATGCTTTTCATGATATATCAATCATGTTTTCCTATCTAATTATAACAGAGCAACAAACAAAACATATCGATACAGAGAGATACAGTGTTTTAGTAATACTTCATGTCCTTCCCTTTTATACGAAAGCAGATTATCTCCATCCTATAGAGCATTCCGGGGATAAACCCAGCATTTTAGGTAACACCTCAGCTTAGACTCAAGCCAAGTTGGAAGGATACAAGGCATCCTCCAATCCAATGAAGTTCTCCTTGATACTTCTAGCAGAAACAAATCTGTAGAAGATAGCCATACTTCCAGCTTTGTCGTTGGTTCCACTTGCGCGAGCTCCACCGAATGGTTGTTGACCGACAACGGCACCGGTACACTTCTCATTATAGTAAACGTTACCAGCGGCATTACGAAGAATGTCGGTAGCTTGGATGAGTGCTTTGCGGTCGGTTGAGAAACTATGGCAGAGGTTCATTCAACATCAAGAATCCTTTCGAGATAAATAAAGATGAAAACTCACATTGACCCGGTCAAAGCGTAAGCAGTCGAAGAATCAATCAACTTAGTGGTTTTCTCGAAATCGGCGTCCTCGTATACATAGATCTAGCAGGCATTTTCATGAATTGGTGTTGGTCATGAATGGACATTCGACTCACGGTGAGGACAGGGCCGAAGATCTCCTCGACCATAGTAACAGACTTGGGATCTTTGGTCAAAATTACAGTGGGTTGAATGTAGTAACCCTTAGAGTCGTCACCTAAACAAAGATGAAATGAGCACAACAACACTTAACCAAATCTAGTCAAAGCTACTTACCGGTTCCACCGATGAGAACTTCACCACCAGCCTCCTTAGCCTTGTTGATGTAACCGATGATCTTGTCGTAAGCAGGTCGGCCACTAAGGAGAACAATTTCAGCGAATTTGATACCCAGGGATTGAATCCTAGTACGCACATGACAGGACCGATGAAGTTGGTGAAGTCGTGAGCCGGGCCAACCTTAAGCTTAGCAGTCTCAGTTAAGAGCTGCTCCTTGAATCCATTGCTCCAGAGGGAAGAGGGGACGTATAGACGTGACAAAGCGGAGCACTTCTGACCTATATCGCAAGGATAGTCATTAAGGAAACTCAAAAGAATGCCCGACAATAAACAAACCTTGATATTCAAATGCTCCACGAACACTTTGCAAGACAGCATTTTTCACCTCAGCAGATGGGTGAATAAGGTGGAAGTTCTTTCCACCAGTCTCTCCAACGATTCTCGGGTAACCCTTGTAGTTATCGATGTTAGCAGCGATATCCTTCCATAACTTCTTGAAAACGAAGGTGCTACCGGTGAAGTGAAGGGCAGCGAACTCGGGATGAGAGATAACTTGGGCAACAACCTCGGCGGGAGGTCCAGGAACGAATTGAAGGACACCAGCAGGAAGGCCCGCTTCTTCAAAGATCTTATAGATGAGATAGTTGGAATAGGTAGCAGCTGGTGATGGCTTCCAGACGACGGTGTTTCCTACGAGAATGGGAGCTGGGAGTGATCGTCAGAAGGCGCATTTAGGGAGAAAATATTGGGCTCATACCTGCAGAGAGGTTACCACCAATAGCAGTGAAGTTGAACGGCGACACTGCAAAGACGAAACCTTCCAATGCACGATATTCAACTCGGCTGGAATGATCAGATCAATTAGCATCATCAATAGATAATATGCCTTCCTATGACGTACTTCCAGCTTCCAGCACTGTTTCTCGGTGGTTGAACAGCATAAAGCTCTTCGACATATTTCACGCCAAATCGTAGGAAATCTGTAAGCTCGGCAGCAGCATCAATCTCAGCTTGCCAAGCGTTCTTTCCTTGACCGAGGATAGTAGCAGCCATCAACTTATAGCGATACTTTCCGCTAACAAGATCAGCAGCTTTCAAAAAGATAGCAGCGCGATCACTCCATGGTAAAGCCTCCCATTCAGCTTTGGCAGCGAGAGCGCCATCGATAGCAGCAGCGACGGTGGCTTGATCAGCTTCGTGGTATGTGCAGAGGTGGTTGGCATGATCCCAAGGCAGAGGTTGTTTTGCAAGTTTGCCTGTCTTGACCTATGTCATAGGATGAACGGTTTGAGTACCAGATCTAGATGGATGGTCACCGAAAGTACTCACCGGTTTACCGTTGACAATGCAAGGTACTTCGAAAGGCAGCTCCTTCTCTATCTCAGAGATTGCATCTTGCAACGCCTTTCTCTCTAGAGAACCAGGGGCATAGCTTTTCTGTAGAATCAAAGGGCGTAGATTTAGGGCTTCATGTCGATCTCTGTGCGGTTAGATAACTTGCCATAGGCTCATTGGTGATCTCGGGGATCTTGAACGTTGCGAGAGTTGGAGACATGTTCGACGATGGGGAAGACGGGTGAGAAATGAGATGGACTATCGCAAGCACTTGATGAAAGTTATATAGCAAGCTGGTGACTCGGCGGTACGGATCATCGAGCCAGAGGGTCGATGGGCTGAACCACTCTGCATGAGCGCCTCGAGATGCTGGTATAAACTATGGGCGCTTACTTCACTGATAACGATGGCAGAATGCGAGCCGGGGAGTTTGAGATGAAAATGTGAGGAAATCGAGTCATCTTAGGATAAGGATTGTAGGAAATACGGTTACATGGAGATAACAGTAGCCATAACAAATATGAGAGCTCAAGACATTTGTTCGTCCAAAGGTCCAGTCACAAGGAATAGAAATGGAATGTTAAGAAACGGCAAAAGGGATCCGGAAGGCAAAAAAGTATGAATGTCGTGCGTGAGTTAGAGTGAGGTCCAATCGGGTTATATGGTTGAAGGCAAACTGTCGATCTCTTTCCGCAACCTATCGAAAAACCACTGAGCACCGATGATACTCTCCGCACATCTCTGACACCCAGCCTGAGCTGACCTGGCTATGAAAGGCATGGTGAATATAACGGCTGTTGTCGGACGTTCCTTCAACTCTTCCATAGCCCTCTGCCTATAATCATCCCACCACTTTGGCGCAATGAGAATCCCATAGTGTGTACCATTGCACATCATACACTTGACGTCATCGGGTACTGGGATTCTTGCCAACACTTCGACCGCGGCTTCAGCACGCTGG